GTCACCAGGAGTGACCAGTGGTCACTTTGGGGTGACCTTAGAGTGACCAGGACTGACCATGAGTGACCAGTGGTCACTTTGAGGTGGCCTGGGGTCACTTTGGGGTGGCCAGGAGTGACCAGTGGTCACTTTGGGGTGGTCAAGGGTGGCCTGGGGTGACCAGGAGTGACCAGTGGTCACTTCAGGGTGGTCTGGGGTCATTTTTGGGTGGTCAGGGGAGGCCAAGAGTGACCAGTGGTCACTTTGGGGTGGTCAGGGATGGCCAAGAGTGACCAGTGGTCACTTTGAGGTGACCAAGAATGACCACTGGTCACTTTGGGGGTGGCCTTGGGATGGTCAAAAGTGGCCTGGGGGTGACCACAGGTGGTCAGTGGTCACCACGGAGTGACCACAGGTGGTCAGTGGTCAGCAAGACGCGGCTGGAGGTGGCTTTGGTCACCGTGGGGTGGTCAGTGGTCATCCTTGGTGGTCATCGTTGGTCAGTGGTCATCACTTGTGGTCAGTGATAATCGGTGGTGGTCAGTGATCGTGGTTGTTGGTCAGTGGTCATCCTTGGTGGTCATCACTGGTGATCAGCGGTCATCGTTGGTGGTCAGTGGTCACCAAAGGTGGACACAGATGACCACAGATTACCATGGATGACCATAGATGACCATGGACGACCATAGATGACCATGGATGACCACGGATTACCATGGATGACCACAGATGACCATGGACGACCATAGATGACCATGGATAACCATGGATAACTGTAGATGACAATAGATGACCTTGGATGACCATAGATGACCACAGATGACCACTGGCCACCACAGATGACCAATGGATGACCAATGGATGACCAATGGATGACTGTCGATGACCATAGATGACCATGGATGGATGACCACAGATGACCACTGCCCACCATGGTTGACTTTGGATGACCATGGATGGCCATAGATGACTGTAGATGACCATAGATGACCAATGGATGACCATAGATGACCACGGATGACCACTGGCCACCAGGAGATGACCACAGATGGTCAGATATGACCCCAGATGGACACGGATGACCACTGGCCACCACAGATCACCAATGGACGACCATAGATGACCTTGGATGACCATGGATGACTGTAGATGACCTTGGATGATGACAGATGACCAATGGATGACCACGGATGACCACTGGCCACCACAGATCACCAATGGATGACCACAGAAGACCACGGCTGACCATGAATGACCCCAAATGACCTCAGATGACCACGGATGACCACTGGCCACCAGGAGATGACCACGGGTGGCTCAGCTGATGTAGACACGGTGGAAGTCGTGCGCGCCGAAGGCCGCGTTGGCTGACCATGGATGACCATGGATGCCCATGGATGACCATGAATGACCACAGATGACCACTGGCCACCACAGATGACCAATGGATGACCAATGGATGACCACAGATGACCACTGGCCACCACAGATCACCAATGGATGACCAATGGATGACCATAGATGACCATGGATGACCAATGGATGACTGTCAATGACCATAGCTGATCATGGATGACCAATGGATGACTGTCGATGACCATAGATGATCAATGGATGACCATAGAAGACCACAGATGACCAATGGATGACTGTCAATGACCATAGATGACCAATGGATGACCATAGAAGACCATGGATGACCAATGGATGACTGTCAATGACCATAGANGGTCACCGTGGGGTGGTCAGTGGTCATCCTTGGTGGTCATCGTTGGTCAGTGGTCATCACTTGTGGTCAGTGATAATCGGTGGTGGTCAGTGATCGTGGTTGTTGGTCAGTGGTCATCCTTGGTGGTCATCACTGGTGATCAGCGGTCATCGTTGGTGGTCAGTGGTCACCAAAGGTGGACACAGATGACCACAGATTACCATGGATGACCATAGATGACCATGGACGACCATAGATGACCATGGATGACCACGGATTACCATGGATGACCACAGATGACCATGGACGACCATAGATGACCATGGATAACCATGGATAACTGTAGATGACAATAGATGACCTTGGATGACCATAGATGACCACAGATGACCACTGGCCACCACAGATGACCAATGGATGACCAATGGATGACCAATGGATGACTGTCGATGACCATAGATGACCATGGATGGATGACCACAGATGACCACTGCCCACCATGGTTGACTTTGGATGACCATGGATGGCCATAGATGACTGTAGATGACCATAGATGACCAATGGATGACCATAGATGACCACGGATGACCACTGGCCACCAGGAGATGACCACAGATGGTCAGATATGACCCCAGATGGACACGGATGACCACTGGCCACCACAGATCACCAATGGACGACCATAGATGACCTTGGATGACCATGGATGACCATGGATGACTGTAGATGACCTTGGATGATGACAGATGACCAATGGATGACCACGGATGACCACTGGCCACCACAGATCACCAATGGATGACCATAGAAGACCACGGCTGACCATGAATGGCCCTAAATGACCTCAGATTACCACGGATGACCACTGGCCACCAGGAGATGACCACGGGTGGCTCAGCTGATGTAGACGCGGTGGAAGTCGTGCGCGCCGAAGGCCGCGTTGGCTGACCATGGATGACCTTGGATGACCATGGATGACCATGGATGACCATGAATGACCACAGATGACCACTGGCCACCACAGATGACCAATGGATGACCAATGGATGACCACAGATGACCACTGGCCACCACAGATCACCAATGGATGACCAATGGATGACCATAGCTGATCATGGATGACCAATGGATGACTGTCGATGACCATAGATGACCAATGGATGACCATAGAAGACCATGGATGACCAATGGATGACTGTCAATGACCATAGATGACCAATGGATGACCATAGATGACCATGGATGACCAATGGATGACTGTCAATGACCATACATGACCAATGGATGACCATAGATGACCATAGATGACCAATGGATGACTGTCAATGACCATAGATGACCAATGGATGACCATAGATGACCATGGATGACCAATGGATGACTGTCAATGACCATAGATGACCAATGGATGACCATAGAAGACCATGGATGACCAAAGGATGACTGTCAATGACCATAGATGACCAATGGATGACCATAGATGACCAATGGATGACCATAGATGACCATGGATGACCAATGGATGACCATAGATGACAATGGATGACCATAGATGACACCAGATGACCACGGATGACCTTGGATGACCAATGGATGACCACAGAAGACCACGTCTGACCGTGAATGACCCTAAATGACCTCAGATGACCACGGATGACCACTGGCCACCCCAGACGACCACGGATGACCACGGGCGGCTCAGCTGATGTAGACGCGGTGGAAGTCGTGCGCGCCGAAGGCCGCGTTGCACTTGGGGCACTTGCGCTGCCGCGTGTCGTAGCGGCTCTTGACGCACTCGAAGCAGAAGACGTGGAAGCACTTGGTCAGCACCGCGTCCTTCTTGCGCGCGTTGCAGCACGGGCACGTCAGCCGGGCCTGCCGGGGGGGGCGGATGCTCGTTAGAGCTCGTTAGCGGTCGCTAATAGTCGTTAACGGTCATTAGAAGTCATTAGTGGTCATTAGAAGTCATTAACGGTCATTTGTGGTCACCAATGGTCAGTAGAAGTCATTAACAGTCATTCGTGGTCAGCAATGGTCACTAGAAGTCCATAATGGTCATTGATGGTCATTAGAGGTCATTAATGATCACTAATAGTCATTAATGGTCATTAGAAGTCATTAATGGTCATTAGTGGTCAGCAATGGTCATTAGAAGTCCATAATGGTCATTAATGGTCATTAGTGGTCATCAATGGTCATTAGAAGTCCATAATGGTCATTAATGGTCATTCGTGGTCAGCAATGGTCAGTAGAAGTCCATAACGGTCATTAATGGTCACTAGAGGTCATTAATGATCACTAATAGTCATTAATGGTCATTAAAAGTCATTAATGGTCATTAGAAGTCCATAATGGTCATTAATGGTCATTCGTG